CAGCAGCCGCAGCTTGCTCATGGCCCTTGACCTCCTGAGGCTTTTGACACAGCTGCCACCCCTTCACTTGTGGAATCTCCTCTCCTAGTTCCCGGATGAGACCGGAGCGTGGTTCCCCTGTCACCTCTCTGGCCGCCGGGCTCCCCCATTGGTCTGCTCTGACTCGCCACCGCTGCATGTCGGTGGGCCCTTTGCTCTGTCCACCCAAGTTCTCTCAGCCGTTCTTAGGATTCCCCGGCCACTTCTGACCTTTCTCCTGACCTGCAGTCTTTCTCACAGACGGCCAGACGTTTCAAATGGCACTGCTACAAACGTTCGCCCCCTTGTTCCCTCCCCTGCTTCTAACTCGCCGCCTCCCTACCTGGTCCCCCGTCAGTCCTCTACTTCCCCCACCTGTGCTGTGATTCTTGGCTCTCCCCCTCTCTCCTTCATGCCCCCCCCCCAGTGTCTCACCGGTTAAGCTGATTTTCGCTCATGCTTCTGCTGTGCGGCCGTGACTGCCACCCTCGGGTAGGTCTGGCTGTGATCCTGCACACTGCAGTCTGCCCTTCAAGGGGCTCCGCTGCAGCTGCTGCTCTGGGGGAGCCTCACCTGCTCACGGGGCTGCCTGTCCACATCGGTCTCCTCTCATTGAAAAAGCAACTTTTTCCTGTGGATTAGCTGTTGGCTTACCTAGCGTTCATCATTCTTGCCTTCAGACACTTCAGCTCAGACCTCACCAGAGCTTTGCCCTGTCCCCACCGCGTTGGTGCTGCCCACCTCCTCCTCGCAGCCTCTTGCTTTTCTGTGAAAGCCAAGGGGGCTGCCGCCTGCCAAGCTCTCGCCACAGCTCTTCGTCCACACCTCTCCCTTCTCCTGAGTCAGCTAAGCCTACTCTCCCTTCCGTCTGATCGCCCTACCGCAAAGAACAGGGGTGTGGCTTTTTCCTCGTACACCTTAGGGTCCTGCCAGCCATTTCTCTCTGTAGAGCTGTGGCTTCTCCTTGCTTGTACGGCGTGTGCTGTCTCGGACCTCCCGCGTTGAAGCTCTTGGAGGCGAGGACAGCCTTCCCCCAGGGCACCCACAGCCTCTATTGCAGGGCCCTGTGGTCAAGGAGTTTCAGCACCTTCTCAGGGCAGGTTGCTTTTATATTGTGGGTGGAGTTTTAAGTTCCTCTTCTTTTAAATAGTAAGAATTATTTACAGACTCATAAAACCAGTATTTTCACTCTGAGGCAGATAGCCTGAAAGAGAGAGACACCAGATGGCTTTGAGAAGTGATTTGAGGGAAGTCTTGCATAACTGAGAATATTACTGCCTAAGGGGGGATGACCAAACGAATAGCAAGTGAACCCTCAGGAACGCTTGATTCGGGCTCGGTGTGGAGTGTTGCACGTTGGGTCAGAGCTTGTGTTGGTGCCTGATCTTTCTAAAGCCCACGGCCCTGAGTGATGAGAGGAGAATGGTGTGTCTACTTCATACACGTGTTGGGCGCCTTACACGAATTAATGTGTTAGCACCATACCTTCTCAACAAAAGGTCACTTCTGTTTGGAAAGGACCCACACCGGGTGTTCCCCTGGAGAGGAAACTGTAGGGCATGTAGACAGGCATTTTGGACCCTTGCCTGGGAAATCAAAGTGAGGGTATTTGAGTAGCCTAGAAAGTGCATACTGAGCATCTAGCGTGAAGGGGTGGGTGGTGGGTGGGGGAGTAAGGTCCAGTCTGGCCCTCGGTGGAGGGATGAGGGTGAAAGCTATAGTCAGGCCAGAGAAAGAGGAATAAAGGGGTAAACCCTGTTGGGGTGGGAGTGGCAGGCTTTGGTCCTGATGGGAGGAGCTTTCTGAGACCCTGAGGAGACAGTCCCACCTCGATGAGGGGCCTCTGGAATTTGGGCAACCAGGGGTTGGCCTAGGAGGTAACTCCTCAGGTGTCCAGGACACACTGGGCCTCTCGAGAGGGGAGGGGACACTGACCCCTATGCTCCTAGGCCCCCAAACCCACTGACCCTCAACCCCGACCTGCTGGGACTCTTGTTCCTGCAGGTGGTTGTCGCCCTGGTGACTGTCACCAAGCATCTTCTCGGGCTTTGTCCCCGTGATGGAGCTGGAGCACCAGATCCCTATCGCTGGGCGGCCCTGAGTTCCAGGGACCGGGCCATAGGGAAATAGGAAGTGGCTGTGTAGAAATATCCCTTCACCCCTTTGCTTGCCTCTCGCGCTGTCTGTCGGCATCCTTCTTAAGGTGCACTGGCCCCTCCTAGCACCCCTCCGCAGGTCTCTGCTCTTCGGGATTACTGAGCAGAGACTCCAGGGCAAGAATCTCGGAGAGAAGCAGTCTGGTGTTGGGTTTGCCTTTGGACTCAGGTCCTTGCACTGAAAAAACCTCTCCTCTCCTCTCCTCTCCTCTCCGCAGGGGAAAGTCGAAGTCGAAGCTGGGAAAGAAGGTATGAAGTTTGAAGCGAGCGCTTTTTCATACTACGGTGTGATGGCCCTCACAGCCTCACCAGGTGAGTGGGCTTCTCAGTCTTCGGGAGCAGGGCTCTGTTTCTTCCAGTGACACCCTCATTTTTCTTTACCTGCCAGTTAACTGTAGTTGTTTTTAGCTTTTAATTTTAGTAGAACACATAGACCAAAAAAATAAAAATCTACACACATCATAAGTGTACACACACACACCCATGAATTTTCACAAGCTAAACATACCTGTGTAAACCAGTGCCCAGCTCAGGGGACACCACTACCAGTCAGTCGGCACTCCCCTCACACTGCCACTAGCCACTTACTCCCAGAAGTGGCCTCTCTCCTGGCTTCTGAGCAGAGATTGGTCCCACAGGTCTTAGAGCAGCCATTCTCAACCTGTAGGGCATGACCCCTTTGGGCATCGAACGACCCTTTCACAGGGGTCACCTGATTCATAAGAGTAGCAAAATGACAGTGATGAAAATAACTTTATGGTGGTGGTGGTGGGGGGGGGTCACCACAACATGAGGAACCGCATGAAAGGGCTGTGGCATGAGGAAGGTGGAGACCCGCTGGCCTAGACCTTTCTTGACATGGAGTCACCTAGTGTGGGTTCTCTCACGGCTGTGCCTCCCGCACTTCATCTGTGAGTTGCTAGGTAGGGTGCCATTGTGAGCCTGTATCACAGCCCCTTTATCCCTTTTCCCCTTGGGGGAACCTGGGCAGTGCCCTGTTGGAGGCTACATTATGAATGAATGGTGATGCTGTGAACACCCTGTGCGTGCCTTTATATGGGTTCCCGAGTGCGCGCGCGTGTGTGTTTACGGGCACACATACCCCTGGGACTGGGACTGCTGGGCCCTGGGCGGTGGTGTAAGTGCACCTCCAGCTTTAGCAGCTGCTGGGAGCAGTTTTCCCGCGGCGGTGGGAGCAGCGGGCCCAGCTTTCTGTGCCGAAGGAAGGCTCCAGTTGCCCGACACCCCGCACACAGTAGTGTTGTCGCTTCAGTGGTAGCTGTTCTAGGGGGGTTATGGTCCCGTATTCTCCAGGGAAAATGAGGTGGTTACCAGGTATTGCATATAGCCAGTGTCTTTTCTGTAGAGAGCTGGCCTGCTGAGTCACCCAGGTCAGGGAGGGTAGTCTGGAACATTTGACCAGGCCCTCTGAGCACAGGATCTCCAGATGCCCGCAGCTGTCCTTCAGGGACCACAGGCACAGATCCCTGACGTCATGCTCTTTGAGTTCTGGGAATAGCACTTGAATGACCCCTCTTTGCCTTGCTTGCTTCTCCGTCTGTGCATTTAATTTTGCTACCTTTGCAAAAGGGAACTTGCCAGACAAGTCAGCTGAGGTGCTAGAGTGCCACCTTGTGGCCAAAACACCAAACAGCAGGCCAGCTGGGAAACACCATGCCCATCCTAAAGGAGTACCTCCAGCTGGCGCCCTTTTGTGACCTGGCCCGCATCTACTGCACCACTAAGGTTTTGTCACTTAGAAAACCTGGGACGTGACAAGAGTTCTCAAAACATTTCTAAACGTCTCCTGTCCCAGATGCCTCTTGTCACCGACAGGCAGGTCCTGCTGTCAACTGCTGCCTAACTCCCGGCATGAACGAGGGCCTGTCCAGCCCGTCTCCGGAGGGTTTCTTTCACTTACACACCCACCACCACCACCCTCCTGCTGGGTGATTGCTCCGAGAGAGGGTGGCTGTTAGCTAGCCAGGCTTGGCCTACACACCACTACAGCTCCATCCACTAGTTGTGCAACTTTAAGGAAGACCCTGGTGCCGACACTCTGAAGGAAACACATCATTCTACCGCCTGTGACACTGGGGAGAATGATCGTGCCTTCGCACGGAAGTGCTTCCTCTCAAAGGCAGTGTTGGTATGACTGTGGTGTGTGTTTGCAGCCAGCCTCCCGTCAGGGTAGCCTCTGAGCAGCGGAGCCAGCCTGAGAAGGTGGCTTTAAAAAGAAAACTAGCAAAGCAGTTCATTTTTGTTGATTCCTGATTCCTGAAAGCTAAATAATGTCCTAATTCACATTGAATAGAGATTCATGCAGTGACAGACCCAAGTCAGAGGAGGGCTGCCATGGGCCACCTGCTGAGAAAGCAGGGGAAGAGGGGAGGTTTCATTTGTAGCATCTCACCCACTGCAGAGCCGGGTATTTTACTTGAGTGTGCAACCAGGACTTGTGATTGTGTGTATACACTGAACTAGGCAATTAGAGCATGGGTCTCAAGGTCAAGTTTGTGTTTGTGAATAGTAGCTATGTAGAGGAAGCCTACCACAGCCCCTTCTCCAGATGGGCCCAGGAAGTATGACCTCTGGCCTATGGAGGACCCTGTTGGTCTCCCTGTCTTAGTGCATAGTGGTGGGCATGACTTTGGCAGACCCTCCCCAGGAAACCTGTGGGTGGCAGTCGCTGGGGTCAGAATGACAAGTAGGGTGGCCGGATTTCCCCCCACATCTTTGCCATGTGCTGTGTGCATAAAAAATATGGCAATTGGAAATGAAAATGAACTCCAGAGCTAATTGTCCCAGACCGGATGCTGTGCCAGCCCCACGACCTTGGGTCCGACTCTTCCAGTGATTAGTGAGCTCACCACCACCACCCCTTTTGTGTGGCTCTTAGGATTTAAGTCCTCCAGAGACCCCAATCACATGTGAATGGCTCAAGAGCTGTCTAGGTTGCTAAAGAGCCTGTGTCCAGCCTCTCTGGGTCCCTCCCCCCAGAGTGCAGCATGTTCCTGCTGCTTGGTTGGTATGGGCTCATCTGGGCACTGGCTCTCTGGCATACCATGGTGGAATAGGTGTCCTCTCTCTCCGGATGACCGGGATCTCGCTCTTCCCTGCCTGCTGATGAGCTCTCACCCTGTTTTTCTCCATTTTCAGTTCCTTTGTCCCTGTCTCGTACCTTTGTTGTCAGCAGAACAGAATTGTTAGCAGCAGGTTCTCCAGGTAATTTTGCATGTTTCCTTTTCCTAGTCCGCGCTCCACCCACCTATGCGCACCCCCTTGACTCCATGAACGGGAGAGACATGGGCAGCAGAGCGATAGTCTCAGAAGCCACCGGGGCCCTTTGACCCTGGCTTACGGGGGGCACCGAGTCAGAATTGACTCAGTGGCGGTGGGTTTGTTGTTCCGATGACTCCATAAGAGGCAGTGGGCCAGGTCTGCACCCTGTTCAGACCAGGTCCCCTCTGTTTGCCATGGGGCTCTGCACCCCAGGGTACTAGAACCTAGGGGCCACAAAATCCCCGGAAAGTAGATGGTTGGGAAAGGGGGGAGAGCAGAGGGACATTGGGAGCATGAACATAGATGGAAGGTGAACATGGGGGGGAGTGGCTCTGAGGTGGATGGAGTAGAGCAACAAGAGGTCCCTGATTTGGGGTCAGGCCGCAGCAGTGACAGCATGGGGCTGTGCAAAGGCCCAGAGGGGCTTGCCCCTTCCACCCCACTCATTCAACGCAGACCCAGAAGCACCGTGACATTTCCTGGTACTGGAGGAAAGTGCCCACGTTGCTGCTGACTGATGCTCCTTGTCCTAACGTCCATGTGAGCAGGCCACGTGGCACAAGCATTTCTGGCCCCCATTGGCCAGGTGGCCCGTGGCCCCGCTTCTCCTTGTCTCCCTCTCCTTGTTTTGAACTTAGTGCTGTGCACATTCCTGACCCCTGGGGGGCCTGGGGGTGGGGGCATGCCCAGCGGAAGTGTCCAGCTGCTGGAAAGAGAGAAAAAGGCTTAATCTTTCTTTAATTAAAAGTGCTGGGCTTTCCTCGCTGGTAGCCTTGTGTTCCTATATTTCCTTTTTGTTCCATAAGAGCATTTATTTTTAAATCTGATGAAATTTGCATTTCATAATCGAGGGTCTGGAACCCTCTAACATGCTGATAGGTGACCGAGGAAGCTGATGTTCTCGCAAGCCTTTGCTTTTGGAGAAGTTTGGCCTGTTTGGGGGTAAGGTTTATTCAGAAAGCTGCTCAAATCAAACCAGCTGGTAGGCTATGAATGAGGGAGCTTCAAAAAGTTCCTGGAAACGTGGAATGAACGATAATGGGATTTCATATATATCATATGAAATATGGATAATATAGATAACCGTATATATATATATATATATACACACACACACACATATATATACATACATACATACATACATACATACATACATACATACATACATACATATATATATATATATATATAAAAAAAACCCCTGGTGATACTGTATTAAGTGTTTGCTAGCCAAAACGTTGGTGGGGCAAACCCACCCAGGAGCTTTGTGGGGAGCAAGGCCTGGCCATCGCTTCCATAAAGACCCAGCCGCCAAAGCTCTAGGGGCAGTTCTGCTCTGTCCTGTAGGGCCAGTGTGCGTTGGCATCCGACTCACCAGCACACAGATAGCATGACAGTACCTCTAAATGTACGCACAGAGATGCACATGCAGGTTTAGAAACACGTGTGTTTCTGTGCTGTCATCTGTTCCCCATGGAAAGGGTAAAGAAACCAGAAATAGAGGGGTTTTCAGGTGAAATTCATGGAAATGCTGTTGGTATTTTACCTTCTCTGTAGAATTTAGAGATGTCTGGGGTCTGCCCAATCTATCTGACTCAGGCATAGAACAAAACAGTCCATCTGGGATGCTGTGCCCTGCAGTAATAGAATGCCTAGTACATGGGGGCTGGGACCAAGCCAGTGACGTCCAGCCTATGCTGAGAGGAGCCTTGTGGTCCCAAGGGAGGAGGCTGGGGGCAGCGTGTCTTTACTGTCTTTCTAGCTCACTAGCAAAAGGAAAGGATTCTTAGGCCACTGAATCAATTGCAACTCATAGCGACCCTACTGGCCAGTATAAAGCCGCCCCAGTAAGCTTTCGAGGCTGTAACTCTGCGAAAGTAGAAAGCCTTGTCTTTCTCCTGCAGAGGAGCTGGTGGTTTTGAACTGCCGACTTTGCGATTGGCAGCCCTCAAGGCAGAATCGCTGAACTACCACCCAAGACAAAAAGCAGAAAGAAAAAAACGATCTGAGAAGGCAGAAGAGCTATTTTTAAAAAGTTTTCCCCCCATAATTATCATAAAACTCCTTCCACGAAGAGGGAAACCCGAGGAAGCCGTTAGTTCTGCCCTGTCCTGTCCGGTCCACGTGGGGTCAGAACCCACTCAATGGCAGGGAGTTTGGGGTGCGTGAGCTTTGTGGGGTGTCGGATGTTGTGCTCATATGTGGTCACACTTTCGATCTTCATCAGATATTATGAGGTGTAGACATGATTATTGCCCTCAGCTTACAGACAAGGAACCTGAAATTTAGCATAGTTGGGCAATCTGTTTAAAATTTTATTCTGCTAAAACATTGGTACACTTTTCATTTGCCTTTCTGTTACTCTGAATTTAATTTTGAGTGACAGTGGAAGATGGATGCTCGACATGAAGACGGTGGGGGGAGGATCTTAGGAGGACAGAACTAGTGCGTTTCCCCTGGGGGTTGGCCCTGTTTTCCCCAGGTGTCGTTAACATTTAAGAGGGCATTCCCCACATGGCATCGAAGAGCAGGGTCAGACTCGGGTGGAGGTTGGTGACACATCTCAGGAAGAACAGCTTGGTGTATCTCATCTGGAGAAGAAACTTGATAAGCAACTTCAGAATGTCCAGAGCGATTTCAAACCGCGAGGAACGGGGTTTCTCAAAAGACCTCCATGGAGCGGCGCTCCGAGCGTCATCGGAAGTTGGGCTGGTTTTGAGGGGACCTCACAGCAGGCTTTCCAATAGTTAAGGGTAGGAGGAGCCAAGGGCCAGTCCCTCTGTGGGAGGTAGCTGTCGGTGACACATTGCAAAGAGAAGATGGAGACTAGGTCCCCGCCAATTTTGTGGGATTCCGCGGTGCTGGATCAGTTAATATTTATGCAGTCGATTTGGTTGGAAAACTAAAAAATGGAAGAACCCTTGGCAAGAGGGTGGGTTTTAGTTTTCCTGAAACCCAGGTGTGGCAGTGAGCTTCTTTTTCAGGGGAATGGCATTAGACGCACCTGAATTTCCTTTTACTTACTTTCAATGAAGGAACAGTCCAATCTCACAAAAGAGGATCTCAGGTTCCCTTGCTTGGCTGATCATTGGGATCACCTGGGGATCTGGTGACTCTCCAGACTCGCAGGTACCATTTGCAACCTAATCAGAATCTCTAGGGAGAGGGATCTGTAACGTCCTCAGACCCCAGGTGATTTCAGTGATCAGCCTGTTGGGAACCTAGGACCTAAGGTAACGTGATAAAACTTTTTCAGAGTTGGTATAAGGAACCCTGGTAGCTTAGTGGACCAAACATTGGGCTGCTAACTGCAAACTCACCAGCTACTCTTCTAGAGAAAGATGAGGCTAGCTACTCCTGTGAAGATTTACAGTCTTGGAGACAATTACGGAGCACGGACGCGGCATCGACTCATAGCAGTGGGTTTTGAGTTTGGGGATCATCCAGGGTTCTGGAGGGAGAAGATGGGACTTCTACTCCTGTGAGGAGTCAGAGCCTCCGAGACCCACTGGACCATTCTGTCCTGCCCTGTGGGGCCACTGTGTGCTCTTGCGGCCCTGGAGCACCCTGAGACTGCCCGCCAGAGAGGTTTGCTGGCACTTGAGTCTGTGGTTTGTTTTTCGGGGTCGGGGTGGAAAGACAAAGATAATAGGTTTGGCTGGGGAGAATGGTCGACCCTTAAAAACAGGGACTGATTGTGAACATTCTCAGGAGCTCTTTGCTTTTGCTTCTGGCGAAATAAGGAAGTCAGCTTTCTGGGAGGGCCCAGCTCATTCAACCGTGGCTGGGCATTTCCCAGCACTTCCCAATGGTCCAAGTAAGACTTGGATCGGTAGCCACAGGTGCCGGCCATTAGGGAGCTGGCGAGTCTGTGTCTGTGTGGGAGCAACAGGACCAAACAGCTGAAGGGAGCGCAGTCTGTCACCCGGGCTCCCGGAGACCCTGTGTTGCCAGCTGCTTGGCTGAGGCACCTGCGCCGAGCGATGGCCGCATTGACTGAGTTACGGCCTCAGTCCCTGCTCCCCACTTGGTAACTCAGAGCTAACTTTGGCAGCTGTCTCTACCTCATGTAAAAGGTTGTGGGGCCTCCCCCCCACCTCTCCCTTTTCCAGGTGAGAATAAGTCACCCCCTCGCCCATGTGGCCTGAATCACTCAGACTCTCTCAGTCGAAGTGACCGGATCGATGCGATCACACCAGCGCTGGGGAGCAGCAGCAACCAGCTCAATTCGTCATTCCTTCACGTCTACATCCCTGACTATTCTGTGCGGGCCCTTTCTGACCTTCAGTTTGTTAAGGTAAGAGGAGCGAGGACGCGGCACCTGGAGCCCAGAGCCCCCTCCAGCAAACTCCCGGTGTCACGCAGGGTGCCGCCTCCAGTTCCTGCCCGGACACTTGGCTGCAACCGTTATTCTTAGGTTGGGAAGAAACGTTTTACTCACCAGCTCTAGCAAATGAGTTCTCAGATCAAATGTGGCTTTTTTTTCTGGAAATGCATGGGAGCTTGAAAAAGTTCATGGAAACATTCCATTATCTTGTCATTCCATTTCTTTTCCATGAACTTTTTGAACTCCCTCCTACAGGGCCTGAATTGGAGAGGAAAAAAGTATTCTGTTTCCCCAAAGTTTTCTTGAGTTCGCTACCCTCCTGAAAGGGCGGCCAGAGGTCAGGAGGCTCAGGAGAGTCGCTAAGGAAGGCCCCGCCTCCCCTTGTTGCAGAGACAAAGCTTCTTACTCAATCTGAAATTAGGGTTTGGGGAGAACCCGCCAGCCCTAGGCGCTGGAGGCCTACCAGCTCCAGTTGCTAGTCCGCCTGACATTTGGAGACAGTGTTGGGAATGGGCTCCTGGAAGAGTGTGGCGAGAACTTTTGGAAAAGTGCCTCTGTTTGAGCTGGAGGAGGCTTTCCTCCTAGTGACGCGCCTAGGGGGTTATCGCCCAGGAGTTGTTGTAGGACATGCTGTAGAGACGAGAGAACGTAAAAATAAGTCTTCTCTTCGTTTGTTTTCTGTGCCACCTTCTGGCCCCAGATCTCACGGCAGCAATACCAAAATGCCTTGATGGCATCCCGGATGGACAAAACGCCTCAGTCTTCAGACAGTGAAAACACTAAAATTGAATTGACTCTTACGGAGCTGCACGACGGGTTGCCAGACGAAACGGCCAACCTGCTCAACGAACAGAACTGTGTGACGCACACGAAAGCCAACCACAGCCTGCACAATGAGGGCGCCATCTAACAGCCCCCGGCCCGCCCGCCCCCAGGGCCTGTCTGCGTGACCACCGTTCGTGTGAGCCTCCTGCAACTTTCCAAGACCAAAGACTGTTCCTTCCCAGAAGCCGCTGGGAGGATGGTGAGGGCCGGGCTGGACGGTAGGGACGTGGAATGGATGGCTAGGGCATGGCGGTCTCGAATCTGGAGACGGACTTCCTCCACCCAGATGGAATCATGTTTCTTTTTCCGCTGTACCTTCGGTCACCATTCGCTGTCCTTCTCCCTCAATTTGCATGAAGTTGAAAAGTGTTGCGATTTATTTTTTCAAGAGATCATGTTTTTTGTTTTGTTTTGTAAGTGTCTTTTGCAGAGCTGGCAGTCGTTCTGTCCGGACTCTGCAGTGACCCCCATGATGTGACCCCAGTAGGATGGCCTTGCCCCGTGGCCTTCCCAGGGTGCCCTTCCTTCCCGGTGGGTGTCGCTGTGGCCCTTGAAGGATGAACGAAGAACACCTTCACCGCAGACCTTGCCAAACTGTTGCCTCAGAAGCCCCCGAGGGGCTCGGCGTCATCCTCAGAACGTAACGGCCTGACACGCGCTCGGGAATGTGATTTCTCTGCTCCCCCGCGCTAAGGAGTTTTTGTCACCAAAATGAATTTTAATGAATTTTAAAACCCCCGATTTGTCATTGGCAAGAGGCGAGTTGACTCCATGCCGCCCTCCACCGACCTGAGCCCGCGATGCTGCTACACGGATGCCAAAAGGAGGCCGCCCGCCCGCCCACCTGCCCGGCGGCTCTGCGGTCAGCGTGTCACGTGGAGTCGCAGACCCCTGGCCCTCCGTCCTGACCAGCCCAGGAGCGGGACGCGCCCCTGGGCTCTGTGCTCCCGGGCAGCCCCAGACCCTGGCTTTTAACTCGAGGGGGGTGACTTGGGGTGGGGGGGCCGGCGGCAGCCCCTGCCCCTGCCCCTCTCCCAGGGAGCCAACAGCCCTCCTTCCCCGTCCCCCTGGGGCCCAGCGGTGCTGCGTCCCCTGCCCAGGGCCTCCCTCTTCGGCTGCGGCCTGGGCCACTTTGGCCCCAAACAGGGATTCAAAAACCAAATGTGTGGGCCATTTTGTGTGTGTGTGTGTCTGAGTGTGTGTGATTTTAATACCAAATCCGTCGCGTGACTGGGCCCGTTCTGCAGTGTCGGCCCCAGGGACGCGCGTGGGGCCGGCTCTGCACGCAGATCGCGTCCTCGGGGGGTCGGTGTCGCGTGGTCTCGCGGTCTCCGTGTGGTGGGCGTCGCTGTGGCGCCTGGGGAGCAGCTTGGGCCCCCCCTAGCTCGCTTAGCCCCGTGTTTCCTTGAGGATGTCAGCCTTGGGGTGTCTCGTCGGAAGGGGTCATGCCCCCTCGTGAAGGGAGTATCGCGTCACTTGGCAGTGGGGCATGAGTGTGTCCCCCCTCCCCGAGGAAACTGAGTGGCCTTGCCCTGATCTGTCACCTTGGGACGGAGTCCCCCACTTTGTCATCCGAAGTTCGGGGAACCCTGAACCATGCGTTCCCCTTTAGTGACAAACCCACCCGAGTTCCAAAGGGCCCAGTAGCACAGAAAGCCAGCCGGCCGCACTGGGCTGGGCGGCCGGGCCGGGAGGCAGGCGGTGGGCGCTGGCCGGGCGGGTCCGGTCATGTGTGAACTGCTCCTTGCCTGGCCACACTGCTCCGAGGCGGCAGGGGATCCGGAACTGGTGGGGTCCCATCGTTGACTGCGGGTTCAGCTGGCCTGGGAGCGTGCGCTGCGGGCAGCGGGGTCTGCTCCGCGGACGGCCTGGAGAGGGCTTGACACCTCCCAGGGCTGCCGGCCGGAGGACTGACCGCTAGCCCTGAACCCCGGTGGAGCCATCGCTGCCAGACCAACGCCCCCCACGCCGGACAAGTCAGGGCCTTCGGCTCTAGAGCGGCCAAGGCCACCCCCAGGTCCCACCGGAAGTGCTCCCCATCGCCACAGCGTCCCGGGGCTGCACGTCTACCCACTTCCGCACGGTTCCAGATTGTCAGGCAAGTCCGAAATCTGTTTCAAGTGTTGGGAAATCGGAACCTTCAGGTTTGGACCTGGGTATTTGGAGTGCTAATCGGGGCGTGGAAACTGTGGCTCGGGCACCGCAGGCCAGTAGGCCGGCTGGGCTTCGCCACGTGGCCCTTGCTTGGAGGGCAGCTCCCACTTAGGGACGCTATTCCTGGTCACTTGTGCAGAATCTCACCCATGTGGAACATGAACTGTGAATCCATGTACCTGTGCTGTGCCATATAGGTCCATACAACTAAAGGGCCAGACTTGCCAAGTCAACGAAGACAGTGAGATACATGTGGAATGGCGTTTCCCAGACTGGAGCAGCAGGAGTCAGCCCTCCATTTCTCCACGGGTTGCAGAGCTACCAGGTCAGCTCCTGGCTAACGAACAAAACCCCACTTTCTGAAGACCAGCCAGGAGGGGCGGGTGCAAAGAACCCCTGACAGATGACTCCCCTGGGCTCGCACATGAAGGTGCTCTCCTTGTGTCTTGGGACCCCCAGCAAGCCAGGGCCAGCAAGGTGGCACGGGCAGTGGCACAGCTCCTCAGCTGTGACCTTGGAGAGGTGCTTTGCTTACAAGGAGTTGAGAACCACAGGCCGAGGTTGGGGGGGAGGGGGGAGACTAGCCTTCTGAGGCTCCAGAGCTCACATCCTGGGTGGGGTTTGGTTTTATTCTGGGCTCCGGGTTGGCGTTGCTTCTCTTCCAGCAAGGGTTTCTGGGTGAGCTGTAGGACATTCCAGACCTAGGAGCGATTTTAGAGAATCGAATATGAAAGTGATTTGAAGGATTCAAATTTTTATTTTCTGATGTAACTTACTCAGTGGATTTTTATACCTCAGGGCCATTTGCAAATCTTTTAACTTTCCGTGTTTCTTTTGTGTTCAAGCGGGCTGATAGGAGGCAGTTCATAAGACTTCCAAATTGAGATTCATTTTCCTCCATTTGAGGCAGGGGGCACACCTCTGCCAGGCTTGCGGAAGGACAGGAGTGGCTTGCATCCTATTCCTGCACCAGGGCTGCGAGGGGTGGATCTGTGTGCTGTAGCACTTGCAAGCTTCTTGCCTGTCATGAGTGCCGACTGGCTGCCTCCTCCTCCCCTAAGGTTCATATTCCAGAGTCCCTGGTCAGCCCTACACACGAGATGGTGGGTCGCAGCAACTAGAAAGCCTGGGACAGCTTTCCTGCCCTCTTGGGCCGAGGACCTTCTCCTTTTCAGACCTCTGGTTGGCTCAGCTCAAATAAGGGCTCTCACTGTATGGTGGCGCAATGACACCTCCAAGAATTATTGGAAACCTATTTTAATGATTGAACCAACATGCACACCGGTTCTAGTGGCAAGAGTGTAACGCCCCAGAGTTTATATGCACACCGGCCATACTTGTGGACTTGAGTACACACTTCCCCAGTGTTAGTGCCCACTTGGACCACAAGCAAGTTGTTGTGCTTAGAAGGGTGCTTTCTGGCATTCCCCCACCTCTGATCAACAAGGACTCACTTAAGAAGTGATTCTTTGGTCAGCTGTCTCTCCGGTGAGGCATGTGTGCCTGCCCTTTTTACACACGAAGGTGCTGTCCTTGTTCCCTGGGACCCCAGGCAAGAGAACGCCAGCAAGGTGGCGTGGGTTTGGGCACAGCTCCTCAGCTGTCATCTTGGAGAAGAGCTTTTCTTAGAAGGGGTTGGGTGGGCGCAGGAGGGCCTCTTGTGTGTGAACAGCTGTGTTCTAGGTGCCAGATCCAATGGTGAGGGGAAAAATGGGCAAGTATGGCCGTTAGAGCTTTCTTTCCCCCCAAAGTTCCCAGACAAGCTCGATTCAGTATCTCCACATCTGAAGACTGTGAAGGGGGGAGTATTCTCGATCCACTAACTTTTCTTGTGCCCGGTAGTCTTTTAAATCTATAAAATGTATATGCTTTATTTTATACTATTTATTATGTATATGCCTCTACTGTTAGGACATCTTTTTTTTTAATCCCTTATGTATGAAACCTTGGGGTTCTCTCTTCCCCTAAGTTGGGTGAGAGGGCAGTTGTGGTAGTTTAATAGGTTGCTGCTGCCATCATCAAGCTCATTCCTGGGCCCACCTGTTCTGCTGACTAGTGCTGGGATGAGGATGGAGGCAGAGCCTCTATGAAGTGCTTGGCGGTGCTTCTTGTCGACTGTGGTGGTACTGCATGTGCGATCGGTGGTCTCCTGACTTACCCCCACCCCAAGTCGGCCAGTTGTCAGAGCCAACACCGCTGGCCTCCACCCCCACTTGGAGTTGAGTCCCTTCTCTGGACAGTGGAAAACTGCCTGCCCTCTCATCCACTTTTTCTTGGTTTTGAAGCCCTGTGCCAACCCTGCCTTCGCCTTCCAGAAGATTCTGCCGTTTGGCTTTCATTCTCCAGTCTTTATTCACTGTACTCTCGTGCACCTTTCATGCTTTTGCTCAACAGTGAAGTTTTCTGAACACAGTATGCAGAGCAGTGTATTTAACCCTAAATAACAAGCACAAGGGCATGTATAGGCTTCACAAGCGGATTGTCATGAGTGCATTCTTAATTCAAATGATGCTGTAGATTTACAATCTATTTATTTTGTACCAATTTACTTGTAAATTATGTGGCGGTTTTAAAGGTTTTGTTTCTAGTATTCTATTTAGATCTAGGCTGGATCTCTGCCCCGCCTTCTAGCAGACGTGTGTTCACTCATACAATTCATCTGGGCCAC